TATGATTTCCTAAAAGAAAACTACTCATACTAATATATTTATGTATATCTAGCTCTTCACTCCTTAAAGTATACTTTAAAAAAACAACTTGTAATATTCTTCTTTGATTAATTTTTAATTATTTTGTTTTAATTATAATCCCCTTTATATGTTTGTTGGCTCCTGTTTTATTTGTTAAATAAATAATATTTATTTTCATGTTGTTGTTTTTCTTTTTCTTAACACCTCTTTTTTATATGATTTGCTCCCCAAAGTATGCATTTTTTTTACTCATTTCTGTTTCTATTTGATAAATTATTCAAAACACGGGAAAAACTGGTTGGTTGCTTGACATTATTGCGCACTTGCTGGTTTTTATTATTTTGTCTGTGTGTTTTTTTCTAGATTTTTTAATAAACAACAACAAAGTTTATTTTTATTTTTATTATGCCACACGGTTGCAACCTCTGTTTGTCTCCTACTATGTTTGTCATTCAAATGCTTTCTCTACTAATGTACCCTTCATAAAAAATAATGTCCTTTTGCTCTTCCTTTTTGTACATTAAAGTCTCAAGTGCATAAACGAGTTACTTCACATAAATTATTGGAGGTTTATGATGTGGTTGTTAGTGTTAGTACCTTGTTGGGCTGTCTGTTATCTGTTTATGTTGTACATGCTGTTCCGCCAAAGGTAAATTTTTATGCGAAACGTTAAAAATTCTGCCACCAATGGAGAATTTTAAATCTTATTTGTTAGTAATTAGAGCGAGGAAAGGAAGTTTAGTGCAGGTGAATGTTGTATTCCTCTAAACAAATACGTGCTCTCAATGTAAAAACCTTCTTTGGAAAGGTCATAAAGTGAGCAACTTTTCTATAGAAATAGCTGTCAAATTTTGAGCAACTTTTCTGTGAAAAAGTTGTCACATTGTGAGAAACTTTTCTAAAGGAAAAGTTGTCACACTGTGAACAACTTTCCTATAGAAAAAGTTGTCACATTGTGAGCATCTTTTCTGTGGAAAAGCTTGTCACATTGTGAGCAACTTTTCTATAAAAATAGTTGCCAAATTGTGAGCAACTTTTCTATAGAAAAAGTTGTCACATTTTGAGCAACTTTTCTATAGAAAAAGTTGTCATATTGTGAGCAACTTTTATATAGAAAAAGTTGTCATATTGTGAGCAACTTTTATATAGAAAAAGTTGTCATATTGTGAGCAACTTTTATATAGAAAAAGTTGTCATATTGTGAGCAACTTTTATATAGAAAAAGTTGTCATACTGTGAGAAACTTTTATATAGAAAAAGTTGTCACATTGTGAGCATCTTTTCTGTGGAAAAGCTTGTCATATTGTGAGCAACTTTTCTATAAAAATAGTTGCCACATTGTGAGCAATTTTTCTATGGAAAAAGTTGTCACATTGTGAAAAACTTTTCTATGGAAAAAGTTGTCACATTGTGAGTAACTTTTCTATATAAAAAGTTGTCACATTGTGGAAAAACTTTTCTATGGAAAAAGTTGTCACATTGTGAGTAACTTTTCTATATAAAAAGTTATTACATTGTGAGCAACTTTTCTATGGAAAAGGTTATCACATTGTGAGCGACTTTTCTATAGAAAAGCTTGTCACATTGTGAGAAACTTTTCTATGAAAAAAGTTGTCACATTGTGAGTAACTTTTCTATAAAAAAGTTGTCACATTGTGAACAACTATTCTGTGGAAAATTTTGTCACATTGTGAGCAACTTTTCTATTGAAAAGGTTGTCACATTGTGAGCAACTTTTCTAAGGAAAAAGTTGTCACATTGTGAGCAATTTTTCTGTGGAAAAAGTTGTAACATTTTGAGCAACTTTTCTGTTGAAAATGTTGTCACATTGTGAGTAACTTTTCTATAGAAAAAGTTGTCACATTTTGAGCATCTTTTCTATGGAAAAAGTTGTCACATTGTGAGGAACTTTTCTATGCAATAAGTTGCCACATAGTAAGCACCATTTCTATGGAAAAAGTTGTAACATTGGGAGCAACTTTTCTTTAGAAAAAGTTGTCACATTTTAAGCAACATTTCTATTGAAAAGCTTGTCACATTATGAACAACTTTTCTATGGAAAAAGTTACCACATTGTGAGTAACTTTTCTATGAGAAAAGTTGTCAGATTGTGAGCAACTTTTCTATGGAAAATGTTGTCACAATGTAAGGGAAAACTTGTAACAATTACATTTTCTTAAATTTCAATTTCTTTGAAAAACAATTAATCTTTTCCTAAGAATAATTACTGTTTGTCCATCTGTCTTAAGTACAACTCTTTCACACCTTTCAAAATGTCTATGGATTTTGATTTAAACTCCAGCTCTTAACTATCAATAATCAAAAAAATCTACCAAATGACCACAAAATTTTGCAATAACCACAAATGAATTAAAAAAAAATCTGTTAAGTACTTGATTTAACAACAAATTTACTCAAACATCAACGAAAGAAGAAAAAAAAGTTTATTGCCCTTTTTACTACAGTTTGAACATCAATTTACATAACACACATACAGACACAACGTTTATATATTTAGCAATAAGTTGGCATAATTTCATAGCAACCATAAAGGATCCATAAGCTATAGAGCTATGGCAATAAAAACAGCTCCCTAATGGTTCAAACATTTGTCTACAATCAGTTTTATTTGCATGCAACACTCAAAAACAATGACCCCTTCTTCCTTACCTATTCAATACTTTATCAAATATTCCACAATTTTCCACACTATCGTAAAAATAATGTATTTTATGTGTGAGTGTGTGTGTTTGTATTTTATTGACCTGAATTTGTGTTATGGTCAGAAGAGCAAAACATGGTTGTACACAGGACCACAATCAAATGATAAACTATATAGATTTTTATTTTCTGTTTTAACAAACTCTAACGCAGCCAACAACAACAACAACAACAACCACCTTCAACTATTCAATACAGTTCATACAATATTTAAACTTACCGACACATGCAGAAAAATAACATTTTTTTTATATGTATGGGGGAGAAGCAAGCAATACTTATTGGTTGGTTGGTTGTTGCACGCACTGTCTGTGACTTCCTTTATGCCAAATGGATGGACAGACACATACACATAAATTCTAACTGCATCTAGTGGATTGCTGTAAGTGTTTGAGAATGTGTACATTTCCAACGTTTGTTCCAATCAGGAAATAAAATAGTTTTTTCTTTTCTAAGTCTAGTACTTAAATCTACCACATACTGCATCAACAATTTATCTTTTTTGAGGCTTAAGGATTCAATAGTTACTAAAGACAACAGCAACGTTAAAAGAAAAGTTTTACTTCTTCTTATAAAATGAAAAATTTCATTTCTTATCTTAAGAACTGTTGACATATTTAAGTAAGTAAGAGTTGGATGAAATGTTTCGATATGCTGGCTGCTTCGGTGGCTGGCTTAAGAAGAAGATAACAATCTTTTAACAGCAAAAAAAAAACGAGATTTTTTTGAAGTCTGTTGTTGATTAAACTAATGTTTCAAAAGTTTAGCGAAATGATGAGAAAATCTTTTAAAGAATAAGAAACAAAAAATTTAAATTGTATAGAAAATGTTGTCACAATGTGAGCAAATTTTCTATAGGAAATGTTGTCACAATAAGAGCAAATTTTCTATAGAAAATGTTGGCACAGAATGAGCAAATTTTCTATTAAAAAAGTAGTCACAATGTGAGCAACTTTTTACAAAAAAAGTAGTCACAATATGAGCAAATATTCTATAGAACGTGTTGTCACAATATAAGCAAATTTTCTATTGAAAATGTTGTCACAATATAAGCAAATTTTCTATAGAAAATGTTGTCACAATAAGAGCAAATGTTCTTAAAAAAATGTTGTCACAATATAAGCTACTTTTCTATAGAAGATGTTACCACAATATGAGCAAATTTTCTATAGAACATGTTGTCACAATATGAGCAAATTTTCTATTGAAAATGTTGTCACAATATGAGACAATTTTTCTATAGAAAATGTTGTCACAATAAGAGCAAATGTTCTTAAGAAAATATTGTCACAATGTGAGCAAATTTTCTATAGAAAATATGATCAAATTTTCCATAGAAAAAGTAGTCACAATGTGAGCAAATTTTCTATAGAAAATTTTGTCACAATACAAGCAAATTTTCTATAGAAAATGTTGTCACAATACGAGCAAATTTTCTATAGAAAATGTTGTCACAATACGAGCAAATTTTCTATAGAAAATGTTATCACAAAACGAACAAATTTTCTATAGAAAATGTTATCACAATACGAGCAAATTTTCTATAGAAAATGTTGTCACAATGTGAGCAAATTTTCTATAGAAAATGTTGTCACAATGTGAGCAAATTCTGTATAGAAAATGTTGTCACAATGTGAGCAAATTTTCTATAGAAAATGTTGTCACAATGTGAGCAACTTTTCTATAGAAAATGTTGTCACAATTTGAGTAACTTTTCTATAGAAAAAGTAGTCACAATGTGAGCAACTTTTCTATAGAAAAAGTAGTCACAATATGAGCAACTTTTTTATAGAAAATGTTGTCACAATGTGAGCAAATTTTCTATAGAAAATGTTGTCACAATGTGAGCAAATTTTCTATAGAAAATGTTGTCACAATGTGAGCAAATTTTCTAAATTTCTGTTGTCACAATGTGAGCAAATTTTCTATAGAAAATGTTGTCACAATGTGAGCAAATATTCTATTGAAAATGTTGTCACAATGTGAGCAAATTTTCTATAGAAAATGTTGTCACAATGTGAGCAAATTTTCTATAGAAAATGTTGTCACAATGTGAGCAACTTTGTCCATATTCAGACAACATTTTCTATAGAAAATTTTGTCAGAATGATTGCAAGTTTTCTGTAAAAAAATGTAACAATGTGAGCAACTTTTCCACAGAAAAACTTGTCTCTCTTTATGAATAACTTTTTATGAAAAAATTTGTCTCTTCTCTTTAAATATTTCTATTAATATCTCTATTTCTTCTTCTCTTCCAGGAACTTAAAGAGAGCTTTAACTATGGTCTCTTTTGTCCACCCTCTAATGGTAAGGCTGGCAAATTTCTCGATGAAGAAAGACGTTTGGGTGATTATCCATTCAATGGTCCAGTGGGCTATTTGGAGGTAAGTTTTCAATTTGCTAACAAACACAAACCGAGATAAACCATCAAAATTTCCTCTTACAGCTCAAATATAAACGTCGCGTCTATAAAATGTTAAATTTAGATGAACGCCAATTGAAAGCGTTACATACTCGTGCCAATTTACGACGATTTCTAGAATGCATCAATGGTGGTCATGTGGAAAAAATCGCAAAAATGTGTGCCAAAGGGCTGGACCCAAATTTTCATTGTCCCGAAAGTGGTGAGACACCACTAACCGTGGCCACAGGTGCTAAAAAACCAAATAAACTGCTTATAGCTTTGGTAAACGGTGGTGCTCTATTGGATTATCGTACCAAAGATGGTACCACAGCATTACATCGAGCTGTGGAAAAAGATTCGTTAGAAGCTGTAACGTAAGTTTAAATAGTCTCAAATCAGAACTTCTTTTGATTTCTTATAAATTAAATGTTTATCTTTATTTAGCACCCTTTTGGAACTGGGAGCTTCACCAAATTATAAAGATGGTCGTGGCATTACTCCTTTATATATATCCATAACACGTAAATGTGAACCAAAAATAACTGAAAGTCTTTTGCATGATCATGCCTCGTTGGGCACACAAGATAATCAAGGTTGGAATGAGGTGCATCAGGTAAGTAAATGATATTTTTTTGTATAAAGAGGAACAGAGTTTATATTTAAAAGAAATTAAATAAATAAAAATAATATGTTTAATAAAATATGTTAAAGAAAATAATTAAATAAAAAATATAGTAGTTTTAAATATGTAATATCAATTTTAAATTAATTTAAATAAAATCTATTACAATTGGTGATGGTATACTATTATTCTGTTTTAAAACCATTTTATAAAAAATTTTCTTTAAATAAAGTTTCAAAAACAAAAAATAATAATTTAACAACATGTTTAGCAACATGTTGACAACTTTTTCTACAGAAAAGTTACTCACATTGTGACAACTTTTTCTTAAGGAAAATTGCTCACAATGTGACAACTTTTTCTTAAGGAAAGTTACTCTCATTGTGACATATTTTTTATAGAAAACTTACTCATATTGTGACAACATTTTCTGTAGAAAAGTTGCTCTCATTGTGACAAATTTTTATATAGAAAAGTTGCTTACGTTGTGACAACTAGACTATAGACTAGACTATAGACTAGACTATAGACTAGACTACAGACTAGACTATAGACTAGACTATAGACTAGACTATAGACTAGACTATAGACTAGACTATAGACTAGACTATAGACTAGACTATAGACAAGACTATAGACTAGACTATAGACTAGACTGTAGACTAGACTATAGACTAGACTATAGACTAGACTAGACTAGACTATAGACTAGACTATAGACTAGACTATAGACTAGACTAGACTAGACTATAGACTAGACTATAGACTAGACTATAGACTAGACTATAGACTAGACTATAGACTAGACTATAGACTAGACTATAGAGACTATAGACTAGACTAGACTAGACTATAGACTAGACTATAGACAGACTATAGACTAGACTATAGACTAGACTATAGACTAGACTATAGACTAGACTATAGACGACTATAGACTAGACTATAGACTATAGACTAGACTATAGACTGAGTAGACTATAGACTAGACTATAGACTAGACTATAGACTAGACTATAGACTAGACTATAGACTAGACTATAGACTATAGACTATAGACTAGACTAGACTAGACTATAGACTAGACTATAGACTATAGACTAGACTATAGACTAGACTATAGACTAGACTATAGACTAGACTATAGACTAGACTATAGACTAGACTATAGACTAGACTATAGACTAGACTATAGACTAGACTATAGACTAGACTATAGACTAGACTATAGACTAGACTATAGACTAGACTATAGACTAGACAATAGACTAGACTATACTATAGACTATACTATAAATTAGACTATAGACTAGACTATAGACTAGACTATTGACTAGACTATAGACTAGACTATAGACTAGACTATAGACTAGACTATAGACTAGACTATAGACTAGACTATAGACTACACTATAGACTAGACTACAGACTAGACTATAGACTAGACTATAGACTAGACTATAGACTAGACTATAGACTAGACTATAGACTAGACTAGACTATAGACTAGACTAGACTAGACTAGACTAGACTAGACTAGACTAGACTAGACTAGACTAGACTAGACTAGACTAGACTAGACTAGACTATAGACTAGACTATAGACTAGACTATAGACTAGACTAGACTAGACTATAGACTAGACTATAGACTAGACTATAGACTAGACTATAGACTAGACTATAGACTAGACTATAGACTAGACTATAGACTAGACTAGACTATAGACTAGACTATAGACTAGACTATACTATAGACTACACTATAGACTAGACTATAGACTAGACTATAGACTAGACTATAGACTAGACTATAGACTAGACTATAGACTACACTATAGACTAGACTATAGACTAGACTATAGACTAGACTATAGACTAGACTATAGACTAGACTATAGACTAGACTAGACTAGACCAGACTATAGACTATACACTATAGACTAGACTAGACTATAGACTAGACTATAGACTAGACTATAGACTATAGACTAGGCTATAGACTAGACTATAGACTAGGCTATAGACTGGACTATAGACTATACTACAGACTAGACTACAGACTAGACTATAGACTATACTATAGACTAGACTAGACTATAGACTAGACTAGACTAGACTAGACTAGACTAGACTAGACTAGACTATAGACTAGACTAGACTAGACTAGACTAGACTAGACTAGACTAGACTAGACTAGACTAGACTAGACTAGTCTAGTCTAGACTAGACTAGACTAGACTAGACTAGACTAGACTAGACTAGACTAGACTATAGACTAGACTAGACTATAGACTAGACTAGACTAGACTATAGACTAGACTATAGACTAGACTATAGACTAGACTAGACTATAGACCTGACTAGACTATAAACTAGACTAGACTATAGACTAGACTATAGACTAGACTATAGACTAGACTAGGCTATAGACTAGACTATAGACTAGACTAGACTATAGACTAGACTATAGACTAGACTATAGACTAGACTATAGACTAGACTATAGACTAGACTAGACTATAGACTAGACTATAGACTAGACTATAGACTGGACTATAGACTAGACTATAGACTAGACTATATACTAGACTATAGACTAGACTATAGACTAGACTATAGACTAGACTATAGACTAGACTATAGACTAGACTATAGAGTATTTTTCTATAGAAAAGTTGTTCACATTGCGATATCCTTTTCTCTGGAAAAGGTGTTCACATTGTGACAACCTTTTCTATAGAAAAGTTGTTCACATTCTGACAACCTTTTCTATAGAAAAGTTGTTCATATTGTGACTACATTTTCTATAGAGAAATTGTTCATATTGTGACATCTATCTCTATAGAAATATTGATCACATTGTGACATCTATTTTCATATAAAATGCTCTTTTCTATAGAAAAGTTGTGTCAAAGTTTCTAAATTTATTTTTTTTTTTTTATAAAATGGTTATTTTTTTTTTAAATTGTGTTTAATTTTTAAAATTTATAAAATAAAAATATTTAAAAATTTCTTTATACACTCTGGTTTTCCCCTGAGAATTCAAAAATAAAAAAATTATATATATTGAACCTTTAACAACTTTTTCAAAATCTGCTAACGAAAAAAAAACAATATTTTTATATTTTTCACTATTTTCGGTTTCCCAACATAACTGTTCTTATTAATCGGGGCTATACAAAAATAAAAACACACACTATTACTACCAAAAATTTCAACTACTACCAACTAAAAAATCTACCAAAAAAATATTTATAAATAAATATAAAAAAAATTAAAACAAAAAAAAAACAATGTATTAGGCCTGTCGTCACGGTCTTGTCCAGCATTTGGAACATTTATTGTTTTATGGTGCGGACATGGATGGCCGTAATGCTTCCGGTAATACACCATTGCATGTATGCGCTGTTAACAATCAGGAGGCTTGTGCTAGAATGCTTCTATTTCGTGGTGCCCAACGTGGTGCGCTAAATTATGCCAATCAAACTCCTTATCAGGTATTTACTCTACTATTTACTCTACTATTTCTATCTATAGAAACAATAAGGTTTAAATGTTTATAAAGTTTTTAATTTTGGGTTTTTTTTTAACTTAAATAATGGGTTTCTTTAGTAGTTTTTAATATATTAATTTTTCTTATATGTTTTTTTAAATTATTTTTGAAAATATCTAATTTCTAATTTTAAAATCTATTAATATTTTTATTTTTAAAACTTTTTCTTTTTGAAAAATTTTCTATAAAACTTTAGGTTGCTGTTATTGCTGGTAATTTGGAATTGGCTGAAATTATACAAAATTATAAAACTGAAGATGTCGGTAAGTAGTTTTTTCTTTTAAAGTTATAACTTTTTTTAACAAATTCCCCTACATTTCATTAACCATCACTTTTCTATCATTCATTTTCAAAAGAGAAAAAACCCAAGAGACTTCATTGCAATTTTTCAATTTTTTCTTTTAATTTTGAAATCATATTAATAATTTTTTTTTTTTTTTGAAAAAACCCCTTAAGAGATTTTGAAATTGCAGTCTTAAGTTGTGACAATATAATCAACTTTTCTATAAGAAAAAGTTCCACAATGTGAACAAGTTTTATCTGAGAAAACTTGTCACAATGTGAACAACTTTTCTATAGGAAAACTTGTCACAATGTGAACAACTTTCCTATAGGAAAACTTGTCACAATGTGAACAACTTTTCTATAGAAAAACTTGTCACAATGTGAACAATATTTCTATAGGAAAAGTTGTCACAATATGAACTACTTTTCTATAGGAAAACTTGTCACAATGTGAACAACTTTTCAATAGGAAAACTTGTCACAATGTGAGCAACTTTTCTATAGGAAAACTTGTCACAATATGAACAACTTTTCTATAGGAAAACTTATCACAATGTGAACAACTTTTCTATAGGAAAACTTATCACAATGTGAACAACTTTTCTATAGGAAAACTTGTCACAATGTGAACAACTTTTCTATAGGAAAACTTGTCACAATGTGAACAACTTTCCTATAGAAAAACTTGTCACAATGTGAACAACTTTTCTATAGAAAAACTTGTCACAATGTGAACTACTTTTCTATAGACAAACTTGTCACAATGTGAACAATATTTCAATGGGAAAAGTTGTCACAATATGAACTACTTTTCTATAGGAAAACTTGTCACAATGTGAACAACTTTTCTATAGAAAAACTTGTCACAATGTGAACTACTTTTCTATAGAAAAACTTGTCACAATGTGAACAATATTTCTATAGGAAAAGTTGTCACAATATGAACTACTTTTCTATAGGAAAATTTGTCACAATGTGAACAACTTTTCTATAGGAAAACTTGTCACAATGTGAACAACTTTTCTATAGGAAAACTTGTCACAATGTGAACAACTTTCCTATAGGAAAACTTGTCACAATGTGAACAACTTTTCTATAGAAAAACTTGTCTCAATGTGAACTACTTTTCTATAGAATAACTTGTCACAATGTGAACAACATTTCTATAGGAAAAGTTGTCACAATATGAACTACTTTTCTATTGGAAAACTTGTCACAATGTGAACAACTTTTCTATAGAAAAACTTGTCACAATGTGAACAACTTTTCTATAGACAAACTTGTCACAATGTGAACAATATTTCTATGATGAATTACAATATGAATTACTTTTCTATAGGAAAACTTGTCACAATGTGAACAACTTTTCAATAAGAAAATTTTTCACAATGTGAACAACTCTTCTATATGAAAACTTGTCACAATGTAAACAACTTTTGTACAGGAAAATTTGTTACAATGCGAACAACTTTTCTAAGGAAAACTTGTCACAATGTGAACAACTTTTCTATAATTTGTCACAAAACTTTTCTATAGGATAACTTGTCATAATGTGAACTATTTTCTATAGACAAACTTGTCACAATGTGAACAATAATTCTACATGAAAAGTTGTCACAATGTGAATTATTTTTCTATAGAAAACTTGTCACAATGTGAACTACTTTTCTATAGACAAACTTATCACAATGTGAACAGTATTTCTATAGGAAAAGTTGTCACAATGTGGATTACTTTTCTAGAGGAAAAGTTGTCACAACGTGAACTACTTTTCTATAGGAAAACTAGTCACAATGTGAACAACTTTTCTATAGGAAAACTTGTCACAATTAGAACAACCTTTCTATAGACAAACTTGTCGCAATGTGAACAATATTTCTATAGGAAAAATTGTCACAATGTGAACTACTTTTCTATAGAAAAACTTGTCGCAATGTGAACTACTTTCCCATGGGAAAACTTTTCACAATGCGAACAACTTTTCTTTAGGAAAACTTGTCACAATGTGAACAACTTTTCTATAGGAAAAGTTGTCACAATGTGGACAACTTTTCTATAGGAAAACTGTGGGCAATATCAACATGTTGCCAGCAACATGTTTACAACAATATTGAATGAACATTTTTAATATTTCAAAATCTCTTAAAAACCAAATATCAAAACTATCATTCATATATCACCATTTTATTAAAAAAAATCGTTATAATTTTATTTCTTAACAAACAAATCATTTTAAAAAATTTACTATTCAAAAAAAATTGATGTTGAATTGATTTTTGTTAAAATTTTTTAAAAGAAAACCAAACTTCTCTTTATGTTTTTACTCAATCTATTAAATTTAAATTTTAGTTAAACATATTTTTCAATCATCAAACATAATTTTTGCTAAAAAAAAAAAAGATAAATTATTTTATATTTTTATCATGCGGCATAACTAGACTTACATATCTTAAGTTTATATCAACATTTTTTTTTAGTTTTATAACCAGTCACCACCACCCGCCAAAAACTGGAAACATTTAGTTTTTTTTCCTTCTTATCTTATCAACATCATTGTCATTGTGAAACATGAAGCGCAACATTTAACATTCATTAAAAAAGCAACATTTTAATTTAAATATTCTTAGTTTTTAATCAAAAAATTCCCAACATATTTCATTAATTCAATCATCACGGAGACAATTTGATTATTGTAATTTTTAAATATTTCAATTGAATTTTGTTACGTTGGTCATGCTCGTTTATTGTTCTTTTTTTAATAAATAAATGTCACGTTCTTTGTATTGTTTATAAAAATAATTAATAATATATTTTATATGTATATTCCCCTTTCATACTATATATTCCTGAAAAAAACTATATCTGTTCATATCCGTTTATTATTTTTCATCAACATTTAATTTGTATTTTTCAACTTGAAACAATTCAATTTCTTAGCCGCCATATTTAATGTTCGTTAAATTTTCTTAATTTTTAATTTATTTTTTAATTATATTTAAATGTAGTGTTTGTTGAGTTTAATTTTAATAAAATTTCTGCAAAACATTTAAACATTATTAGCATATCTTTGGTATTTATTTATTAAACTAGTTTATCTAAATTAAATATTTGTTGCAAGTTATCACAAAACAATTTGTCTTAAACGTAAGTAATATTTACATAAGAATATGTATATCCTCATGAAATTGTACAAACATTAAGCTAAGAACCATTAAAGATTGCCAGAAATTAGATTCCTTAAGGCTTTTCAACATTTTTCACCCACGCAACATGTATCTACTGCAATGAATATCAACATTGTTGACAACAACAAAGGAATTGTCTCATTATATAGATTCAATAGAAAAACTTATCACAATGTAAATAACTTTTCGATAGAACAACTTATCAAAGTGAAAACAACTTTTCTATAGAAAAAGTTGTTACAATGTAAACAACTTTTCTATAGAAAAAGACGTCACAATGTGAACAACTTTTCTAGAGAAAAACTTGTCAAAATATAAACAACTTTTCTATAGAAAAAGTTGTCACAAACTGAACAACTTTTATAGAGAAAAACTTGTCACAATGTGAACAACTTTTCTACAGAAAAACTTATCACACTGTGAACAAGTTTTTTACAGAAAAACTTGTCACACTGTGAACAACTTTTCTATAGAAAAACTTGTCAAAACATGAACAACTTTTCTATAGAAAAACTTATCACAATGTGAACAACTTTTCTACATAAAAACTTATTGCAATCTGAACAACTTTTCTAGAGAAAAACTCGTCACAATGTGAACAACTTTTCTGCAGAAAAACTTGTCACACTGTGAACATCTTTTCTACAGAAAAACTTGTCACAATGTGAACAGATTTTCTTCTGAAAACCTTGTCACGAAGTGAACAACTTTTCTTTAGAAATACTTATCACAATATGAAAAACTTTTCTCTAGACAAAGTTTCCACAATATGAACATCTTTTCTACAGAAAAAGTCGTCACATTGTGAGTAATATTTCTACATAAAAAGGTGTCACAAAGTCAGCAACGTTTCTATAGAAAAAGTTGTCATATTGTGAGCAACTTTTCTATAGAAAAAGTTGTCATATTGTGAGCAACTTTTCTATAGAAAAAGTTGTCATATTGTGAGCAACTTTTTACATAATAAGTTGTCACTTTGTGAGCAACTTTTCTTCAGAAAAAGTTGTCACATTATGAGTAACATTTCTATATAAAAAGTTGTCACAGAGTGAACAACTTTTCTATAGAAAAACTTGTCACATTATGTGCAACTTTTCTGTAGAAAAAGTTGTCACATTGTGAGTAACTTTTCTATAGACAAAGTTGTCGCGTTATAAGCAACATTTCTTTAGAAAAAGTTGTCACATTGTGAGCAACCTTCCATATAAAAAGTTGTCACATTGTGAACAACTTTTCTAAATAAAAAGTTGTCATATTGAGGGAAACTTTTCTATAGAAAAAGTTGTCATATTGCGGGAAACTTTTCTATAGAAAAAGATGTCACATTGTGAGCAACTTTTCTATGGAAAAAGTTGTCACATTGTGAGCAACTTTTCTGTAGAAAAAGTTGTCACAATGTGAACAACTTTTCTGTAGATAAAGTTGTCACATTGTGAGCAACTTTTCTATAGAAAAAGTTGTCACTTTGTAAGCAACTTTTCTACAGAAAAAGTTGCCACATTGTGAGCAACATTTCTACATAAAAAGTTGTCACAAAGTTAGCAACTTTTCTATAGAAAAACCTGTCACTTTGTGAGCAACTTTTCTATAGAAAAAGATGTCACTTTATGAGCAACTTTTCTATAGAAAAAGATGTTACTTTGTGAGCAACTTTTCTATAGAAAAAGATGTCACTTTGTGAGCAACTTTTCTATAGAAAAAGTTATCACATTGTGAGTAACGTTTCTATAGAAAAAGTTGTCACATTGTGAGCAACTTTACTAAGAAAAAGCTGTCACATTGTGAGCATCTTTTCTATAGAAAAAGTTATCACATTGTGAGCAACTTTTTATAGAAAAAGTTGTCATATTGTGGGCAACTTTTCTATAGAAGAAGTTGTCACATTGTAAGTAACTTTTGTCTGTGTTAGATAAATAGATATTTGGATCTAAATAGATATTTGGATCCTGCCGGAAGTAAACATTTCTATAATCTCTTTCTTTGATTTGATGATTTTTAATAAGTTCTCCCAATACGCCTCGAACTATACTTTGAAATTTCTTTAAAATAGATGCTAACTAAAATTGTAAGTATATTGTAATTATGTTAAAAATAATGTATGTTTATTATAATAAAATTATATTAAAATTTAGCAAAAATTATATAAAATGAATTTGATAGATTGAGTAAAAACACACAATAAGTTTCAAGAAGTTCCGAACCAATAACTTTAAATTATTACCGGGTGTATAATGTTTTAGCAAAAAGTACAAATGCAATAAATTTCCGTTTCAAAGTAATCACTTACACTTCATGTAAAACACCTGCAATGTAATGTCTCTGTTAAAAAAATTTAACTAAAAATCTCAAGCTAAAAACTAACCCCCAAAAATATTATAAGAAAAAAAATTATTATCTAACAAATTCCCTTTCAAAACATTTTCAAAATTTCCTATAAATCGTATACCATTTATATTATGAAATACAGTACCCTTTCGCGGTCCACCACGCTACAATCCAAAACGTCGCTCCGGTATGGGTTGGCTTAGTGCCAATGGTAGCATTGGCGGTGGTAGTCTAATGGGTACTTTAACACGTAATAGCAGCAGTATTTGTGGTCATCATGGACCACCATCACCGTGTCCCTCTGAACATATGCCATACAGTTCAGCAAGTTCGAGTTTATCTGAAGGATCATCGGGTCATCGTTCGCATGAAGATGATATCAGCATTGTAACAGGTATTAATTATTATTATTATTTGTTTAATGTATTTTATTTATAAGTAATTTTTTTAATATTAATTGGTTTATGATTATTTATTTCAATTCAAGTTTTCTATAGAAAAAGTTGTTACATTGTGTGAAACTCTTCTTATAGAAAAAGTTGTCACATTTTGGGCAACTTTTCTTTAGAAAAGGTTGCCACATTGAGAGCATCTTTTCTATAGAAAAAGCTGTCACATTGTTAGCAACTTTTCTATGGAAAAAGCTATCACATTGTAAGCAACTTTTCTATAGGAAAAGTAATCACATTGTGTGCAACTTTTCTATACAAAAAGCTGTCATATTGTGAGCAACTTTTCTATAGAAAAAGCTGTCACATTGTGAGCAACTTTTCTATAGAAAAAGTAATCACATTGTGAGCAACTTTCCTATAGAAAAAGCTGTTTTATTGTAAGCAACTATTCTTTAGAAAAAGCTATCACATTGTGAGCTACTTTTTTATAGAAAAAGCTGTCACATTGTGAGCTACTTTTCTATAGAAAAAGCTGTCACATTTCTATAGAAAAAGCTGTCATATTGTGAGCAACTTTTCTATAGAAAAAGCTGTCACATTGTGAGCAACTTTTCTATAGAAAAAGTAATCACATTGTGAGCAACTTTCCTATAGAAAAAGCTGTTTTATTGTAAGCAACTTTTCTTTAGAAAAAACTATCACATTGTGAGCTACTTTTTTATAGAAAAAGCTGTCACATTGTGAGCAACTTTTCTATAGCAAAAGCTGTCACATTGTGAGGAACTTTTCTATAGCAAAAGCTGTCACATTGTGAGCAACTTTTCTATAGCAAAAGCTGTCACATTGTGAGCAACTTTTCTATAGAAAAAGCTGTCACATTGTGAGCAACTTTTCTATAGAAAAAGCAATTACATTGTGAGCAAATTTTCTATAGAAAAAGCTGTAACATTGTGAGCAACTATTTATAGAAAAAGCTGTCACATTGTGAGCAACTTTTCTAAAGAAAATGATGTCACATTGTGTGCATCTTTTCTATAGCAAAAGCTGTCACATTGTAAGCAACTTTTCTATAGAAAAAGCTGTCACATTGTGAGCAACTTTTCTATAGCAAAAGCTGTCACATTGTGAGCAACTTTTCTATAGCAAAAGCTGTCACATTGTGAGCAACTTTTCTATAGCAAAAGCTGTCACATTGTGAGAAACTTTTCTATAGCATAAGCTGTACATTGTGAGCAACTTTTCTATAGAAAAAGTTGTCACATTTTGAGCAACTATTCTCTAGAAAATGTTGTCACATTGTGAGCAACTTTTCTATAGCAAAAGCTGTCACATTGTGAGCAACTTTTCTATAGAAAAAGTTTCACATTGTGAGCAACTTTTCTATAGAAAAAGCTGTCACATTGTGAGCAACTTTTCTATAGAAAAAGCTGTCACATTGTGAGCAACTTTTCTATAGAAAAAGCTGTCACATTGTGAGCAACTTTTCTATAGCAAAAGCTGTCACATTGTGAGCAACTTTTCTATAGCAAAAGCTGTCACATTGTGAGCAACTTTTCTATAGCAAAAGCTGTACATTGTGAGCAACTTTTCTATAGAAAAAGTTGTCACATTTTGAACAACTATTCTCTAGAAAATGTTGTCACATTGTGAGCAACTTTTCTATAGCAAAAGCTGTCACATTGTGAGCAACTTTTCTATAGAAAAAGCTGTCACATTGTGAGCAACTTTTCTATAGAAAAAGCTGTCACATTGTGAGCAACTTTTCTATAGAAAAAACTGTCACATTGTGAGCATCTTTTCTATGGAAAAAGCTATCACAGTTTGAGAAACTTTTGTATAGAAAAATCTCTCACATTGTGCGCAACTTTTCTATAGAAAAAGCTGTCACATAGTGAGCAACTTTTCTACAGAAAAAGTTGTCACATTATGAACAACTTTTCTATAAAAAAAAGTTGTCACATTATGAACAACTTTTCTATAAAAAAAAAGTTGTCACATTATGAACAACTTTTCATTAGAAAAAGTTGTCACATTATGAACAACTTTTCATTAGAAAAAGTTGTCACATTATGAGCAACATTTCAATAGAAAAAGTTGTCATATGAACAACTTTTCTATAGAAAATTTGTCAGAGACTTTAGTAAAGACTATAGTCCAGAGTGTTGTTAAGACTATAGTCCACACTATAATCGAGACTAGGACTTAGAATATAGTACACACTACAGTATAGACTTTAGTTACGACTATAGTCCGGGCTATGGTCAAGACTATACTCCAAGCTATACCCAAGACTATAGTCCAGGCTATACTCAAGACCATAGTCCAGTCTATAGTCATTATTACAGTCCAGGCTATGTTCAAGAATAAAATTCAGTCTATAGTCAAGAATATAGTTCAGTCTATAGTTAAGACTATATTCCAAGCTATTGTCAATACTATAACCTAGTTAAGACTATAGTCCAGTCTATTGTCAAGATGTTAGTGCGAGCTGTAGTTAAGACTATAGCTCTTACTATTGGTAAGACAATAGTCCCGATTATAATTAATATGGTATAGTTCGGAGTGTAGTTAAGACTGCAGTCCAGTCTATAGTGCAGCAGTCCTAGACTATAGTCCAGACTATATTCAATGCTACAGTCCCATTATATAGACATTTATTTGCCTTAAATACAAGTCATATTATGGTAAATATTTTACTTTTACAACAACACTTGCATGCCTAAGGTAAATTTCTTTAAAAAGTTTATAGTATAAAACTCTAATTAAACTTAAGCTTAATTTAGGAAAACAATAAAATAAATGAAAAACTTTTTGACCAAAGTTTTTCTCACTTATTGCAATCTGAAATGAAATAACATTTAAGAAAAATAAAAAGGATAAGTATTTGCTATTTTATAAATAAATTTATTTAAGTTAAAAAAATATATGGAAAAAAACTACCTCTCAGTTAAAAACTTTTTAATAGCAACTTATAAGTTTTGTGAGAAGACCAAGGAAGACTTGCAGCAAAAAAAAAAACATTGCAACAAATATCTAAAACAACAATAAGAAGCAGCATGTTTTAGCACTTTACAAATATTTAATTTTTCTTTAACAAATATTCGAAAAGATTTTATTTAAGTGTTTCCTGTGGTGTATGTATGTATGTGTGAATTAGAGTGTGTTCGTGTGTGTGAGTGATAGTGTTGAAGAGTGTGTCTTTTCTTATTTGTGTTGTTTCAACAAATTGCATGTTTACTTTTCTTAATTGTTGCAACAAAATATCTTTAAATACAAACAAAAGTAAGAGAAAAAAAATAAAATGCTTTAGATTTTTTTATGTTTTTTCTACTTTTATTTTGTTTCTTTTGTAACAAAAATGTAACAAATTGTCCAAATTCATATATTGCATGCCACATACTACAACATACAACAACTACTTTTTACAGCATTACGTCTTACAGTCATATTAACAAATATTTGGATTTAAGCCAAAATGTTTGTACAATTCAAAAAAAAAATGAGAAAAAAAACAGTTAAATAGGTCACTTTCCAAAAGAAACCAACCATCATAAGAAAGACAGAAAGGATGCAACACTTTACAATGGTTTTCGAAATAAATTCTTAAAAATTACAAAAAAAAAAGTTTAACTTTAAAATATTTTCTCTATTTTACTCCTTTAGATAAATCTCTTGGTGATACCAGCGACATTATAAGCGACTCTTCTGGCGTTGGCACCAATTCCGATTCCGCTGCCTGCTCAATAGGTCACCCTAGCACAACGGTGGTTTGCATGGAACCCTATGCTGGCAATTCTGTTGGCCATATACGCCTGCAAGTGGGCGATGTTATTGAAGTTGTGGGTTCCACCGATTGTGGCCTTCTCGAAGGTTATGTTCGTGGCACCAATCAGTCTGGTTTTTTCCCAGCCGAATGTGTGCAAGAGGTGAATTTACGCCAGAAAAATATAACAAATGTTGCTACAGCGAATCCAAATCAATCGCCCTATCAACATTCTCCCGCAGCATCGTCTGTTCACCAGGGTTCACCACAATTGAGTTTAGGCGGCAGTTCGGGTATTGGCGGTATGGGCAGCATGGGTGGCACTCTGCCACGACCCAATCTCATACATCATCAGTCGCCGTCGTTGTCGGTGAATAGTAATGGTTCGACACAGGCTTTAAATAACGGTCATCATATGGGCATGAATGATAATACCATGAAAATGGTGGGAGGCGGAGGTGGTGCTAATCATCATCAGATCGGTCAATATAGCAGTGCTACAGCGCCAAGGGTTAAGAAAAGGGTAAACACTTCTTGTATAATGAAATAGTAACAACATCTAAGTCTAGTCTATAGTCTAGTCTATAGTCTAGTCTATAGTCTAGTCTATAGTCTAGTCTATAGTCTAGTCTATAGTCTAGTCTATAGTAGTCTATAGTCTAGTCTATAGTCTAGTCTATAGTCTAGTCTATAGTCTAGTCTATAGTCTAGTCTATAGTCTAGTCTATAGTCTAGTCTATAGTCTAGTCTATAGTCTAGTCTATAGTCTAGTCTATAGTCTAGTCTATAGTCTAGTCTATAGTCTAGTCTATAGTCTAGTCTATAGTCTAGTCTATAGTCTAGTCTATAGTCTAGTCTATAGTCTAGTCTATAGTCTAGTCTATAGTCTAGTCTATAGTCTAGTCTATAGTCTAGTCTATAGTCTAGTCTATAGTCTAGTCTATAGTCTAGTCTATAGTCTAGTCTATAGTCTAGTCTAGTCTAGTCTAGTCTATAGTCTAGTCTATAGTCTAGTCTATAGTCTAGTCTATAGTCTAGTCTATAGTCTAGTCTATAGTCTAGTCTATAGTCTAGTCTATAGTCTAGTCTATAGTCTAGTCTATAGTCTAGTCTATAGTCTAGTCTATAGTCTAGTCTATAGTCTAGTCTATAGTCTAGTCTATAGTCTAGTCTATAGTCTAGTCTATAGTCTAGTCTATAGTCTAGTCTATAGTCTAGTCTATAGTCTAGTCTATAGTCTAGTCTATAGTCTAGTCTATAGTCTAGTCTATAGTCTAGTCTATAGTCTAGTCTATAGTCTAGTCTATAGTCTAGTCTATAGTCTAGTCTATAGTCTAGTCTATAGTCTAGTCTATAGTCTAGTCTATAGTCTAGTCTATAGTCTAGTCTATAGTCTAGTCTATAGTCTAGTCTATAGTCTAGTCTATAGTCTAGTCTATAGTCTAGTCTATAGTCTAGTCTATAGTCAAGTCTATAGTCTAGTCTTTAGTCTAGTCTATAGTCTAGTCTATATTCTAGTCTATATTCTAGTCTATAGTCTAGTCTATAGTCTAGTCTATAGTCTAGTCTATAGTCTAGTCTATAGTCTAGTCTATAGTCTAGTCTATAGTCTAGTCTATAGTCTAGTCTATAGTCTACTCTATAGTCTATAGTCTAGTCTATAGTCTCGTCTATAGTCTAGTCTATAGTCTCGTCTATAGTCTAGTCTATAGTCTCGTCTATAGTCTCGTCTATAGTCTAGTCTATAGTCTTGTCTATAGTCTAGTCTATAGTCTAGTCTATAGTCTAGTCTATAGTCAAGTCTATAGTCTAGTCTATAGTCTAGTCTATAGTCTAGTCTATAGTCTAGTCTATAGTCTAGTCTATAGTCTAGTCTATAGTCTAGTCTATAGTCTAGTCTATAGTCTAGTCTATAGTCTAGTCTATAGTCTAGTCTATAGTCTAGTCTATATTCTAGTCTATAGTCTAGTCTATAGTCTACTCTATAGTCTAGTCTATAGTCTCGTCTATTGTCTAGTCTGATCTAGTTTATCATCTAGTCTAATTAATAGTCTAGTCTATTCTATAGCCTCGCCTATAGTAGTTTCTATAGTCTCGGAAACAAGACCATGACAATTTCTTAATGCTTATATAAATGTTTCTCCTCACACCCTTTTTGCAGCGCCTTCAACGAGCCGCGAACCGTCGTCTTACATCGTGCCAAACGTGGTTTTGGCTTTATATTGCGTGGCGCCAAAGCTTCTTCACAACTAATGCAATTAAAGCCGTCCGATCGTTTTCCGGCTTTACAATATCTAGACGATGTCGATCCGGGCGGTGTGGCCGATATGGCTGGCCTAAAACCTGGAGATTTTTTGCTAGCCATTAACGGGGAAGATGTACGTGCGGCTTCACATGAAAAAGTTGTTGAAATGATACGCTCCGCTGGAGCTTTAGTATCCATGACTGTTATTTCGCCTCAATTTCCCAATCAAATGCAGGCCACACCGCAATATATGCCAACACATCATTTGTCTTCGGGTCCCAGCACACCACAAACCTCGCATAGACAGTGTGCCACATTGCCGCGTAAAATGTCGTTGGGACCTAATGCTGCAGGTGGTGAGAGGCAAGGACGTCCGGCACCTTTGCCTCCTAGAAGAGATCCTAAGACAACTTTGTCGGTGGGCAGGGCAAGAGCTAAATCTATGGTGGCAGGTTTGGAGAATGGTGGTGAAAAGGAGGAGGAAGAAATTCCTCATACCAAATCCTCTTCGGTGGAGTCGATTGTAACACCCACACCCACTCATCCGGGTACACCAGTACAGTTGCGCACGGCTAGTATTAAGGCCAGACCTACTTCAAGTCGCATAACAGCCGCTGAATTGGAGGAGCTATTCCAAAGGCAACAGGGAGAAGCGGTAGATGGTTCTAATCGTTATTCCACCATGATGACTACTTCACGTTTCCAATCGGGCACTGATAGTGGAGCAGCTACACCTCCAGCCAACAACAGTTCTCCGCTCAAGGGTCCTTTAGTTTATGGCAGTGTGGCTGAAATGAAACGTAAAACCAAGGCCAAGAATGGCACGCTAAGGGGTAAACCCTGTGCTATACCAACAGTGGGAGCTGGTGCTCGAGATTTGAAACGTTTCCACTCCACACCAGATCTTAATGCTACAGCTGGAGGTTCCTCCTCTTCTATTTGGACTCCCAATGTGGGCAAGGGACATCATTCGCAAGATGATGTAGCCACTTTGCATGCCTCTATGTCACGTTTGAATACCTTGCCGCCACCAACACATCCTCCGCCACCACCGCCCGTTGTGGGACAAGTTGTCAAGGTGGAAACTCGTCAAAATTCCGAATATGAAAGCACCTTATCGTTACAGCAAAAACTAAAGAAAAGGGTAGAAAATGATGCCGTTACAGCAGGAGCCATAGATGGGGTACAGTCGAGCTTTAAACCCTCAGCAAATGCTAAGATTTATGCTTCACCCCAGGAGCTGATAGCCTGGAAACTAAGACAGAATCAAGAGGTAAGAACAGGAAATAATAAAAATGTCAATAATCTTTTAACGAATCCTTAACTATTTTCCTTTAAAGAATCGTCAAACTAATCAACAACAGCAGCAACAACAACAACAAAATAGTCAACAACATTATAACTCGAATCAAGCTTTGGGCTTTGCACAATCTACACAAATGCAACAGCAGCAGCAGCAACAACACCAACTTCCACCGCCGCCACCACCACAACAACTACAACAGCAACAAATCCAAAATCAACAAACCCAACAAATTAGTCAATATGCTCAACCCTCTACTTTAACACGTACCAATTCCAATACGAATAGCAGCACTTCCTCTTCCGCCAATGCCACCGGCCAATATGCAGTTAGTCAAACTGCTCAAAACGGTGGCATCATCAATCATACAACTCAAGTCAATAGCACTAGTAATAATAACAACATCAGCAACAACAACAATAATGGCATGCCAGCAACAACAACTACAGCAAACGTGACTGCTATGTCGGGACCAGCACCACCCATACCCGAACCCGACTACAGTCTCAGCGAGTCAGATGGTGAAGATGAAAATTCAATATTAGTGGCACGTAATACAAAGCTAAACGAAAAGATTGCTTTAATTGATGTACCGGAAACGAGTGGAAATAGTCAAGCCAGGTGAGTGTTAGAGTGTGGAAATGTTCGATTAAAAAAAAACGTTTGAGACTTTTTGAAATGGTGTTGTTGATGGGCATACCAAATGGGATAATGTAGTTGGAGAATGAACAACATATTTTACGAATTGTAGTTTTATTACGCAATTTGAATTCGAAAGCAGGTTCCAATTTTCAAAATTTAGTTTCATTGTACACGATTTTTCGTGACCCCTAAGAATTGGACTACAAAATCTTATAATAAATATATACATAGGTCTCAACTTTGTAGTTTGAAATCGGAAAACCACTTTATCTCTAAAAGTGGACTTAAGATTTCCCTCCTGTTTATAATTTACTAATTTCTTAAATTGAATATTCCTCCCCTCTATTACAGCGGCAGTAGTTCCGGCTCCGGTTCCGCATCCATTTCACATTCACTATCGGTTGATGAAATTCAACGTATACGCAGCAATTTGAAAACTTCAAAATCCCAACCTAATGGGTTCGATAAAAACGATGCCGACAACAAGTCGTCGTCTTCGCCGTCAACGAACGAAAACGAAACAGCCAAAAATGATAATGATGTTGAGAACAACAACAATAATAACAATGAAGAGGAAGGTGATAATAGTTCTTCGGGTGTAAGCAGTGATCAGGAGGTATTAGCGGCCAGTGCTAATTCAGGAGTGGCTGCAGCATCCAAATCCACGGATACTATTAAGAAAAAACCGAGTGTTACTATAAATGAAGAGCCAAAAACTATACCGGATCAAGGTAAAGATGAAACTGATGCAACAAAACTGCCAAAAACAACAAATTCTACTACGACAACAACAGCAACTATGCCAACTATGCAAGCGGCAATAGGAAAACAGGGAAATGGACAGCATCAACAACAACATTTAGAAAATACAGCGAAATCTACACCACCGTCTCAACATCGCAGTTTACAAATAACAATCGCAACAACAGCTGCCAACAGCACCACCAATAACACAACCAACAACTCCTCAACAACGAGCAACAATTTGCCAGCAACCACCAAAACAAGTGTTGCCAATGCCAAGGCAGCATTTGAAGCCAAAGCCAATGCACCCACCACAGTGACATCGGCCATACCAAACATTCCTACTACGGTGACAGTCAAGCAAATGGTGCAGCAGCAACATGCACCCGTCATACAACAACAGCAGCAACAAATGTCTGTGGGTAAAGGGCCCAAGACGCTGTTGGCCCAAACACAACAGGTGGTGGCCAAGGCCCAACCCTCGGTGGCTGGACGTTTGGCTCAGCAGCAGCAGCAGCAACAACAGCAACCCCAACCTCATATGAATCCCAACCAAAAACTAATGGCCACACAGCAACAAATACTAATGCAACAACAGCAGCAACAGCAACAAATCGCCCATCAACAACATCTGCAACAAATCCTCAAAGCCAAAGCGGCTGCAGCAGCTGGAGCTGCCAATACCGCCGCCATTGTGGCCAAACAGCAACAGCAGATGGCTGCCAACAAGGCCAATAATTTACTGCCCACCCAAGACTCTCAAGAGGAACAAAGATCCGATGATGATGGTGATCTTAGTCCTTCACCACCAGCCAAAGGATTCCAACGTCACAATTCGTTGACGCGCAAACAAGCGGCCGCTATTGCCATGCAAAGAGCAACACGATCAGCTGCCGTTTCGCTGGTGCAACTACCGCCACCCATTGAGGCTGACAGTGATACGGAAATGTCACTGATAACAAATTCCAAGTCGTCTGTTGCTGGTGGTGTTGCCGCAACTTCAGTGCAGCACAATGATGATGCGTTAGTAACGGAGAATATTGTTCTAGCGCCACCACCACAATTTTGCGATTGCAATGACATCAAGCATGCACCTCAGTTGCAGCAACAACAACAGCAACCGACAATGCCTCAGCAACAGCAAATGCATATGCAGCAGCAACAAACGTTGCAACAGCAACGTCTGCACCAGCAACAACAGCAGCTATCGTTGCAACAACAGCAATCGCTACAACAGCAGCAAGCACCACAACAGCAGCAGCAACATCATCATTTGCAACAACAACAACAACAACAGCAGCAACAATTACAATACCAACAATATCAACAGCATTTGCATCAACAACAATTACAAGCTGCCATGCAATTGCAAATGCAACAGCAACAGCATCCTCATAACATGATGCAACAGCACTATGTTACTGGCTCTGGTAATGTTGCTACTGCTGCTGCTGGTGCCAATACTGCTGCTGGCAATATGGGTACTTTGGGCCGAGTGCGTATTGTCGGCACTCTACCCAAAACCAATCATCATCGTTTACATTAAATTCGTTTTATTATTTACAATTCTTTTTTGTGTCTTTGCTAATTTCTTAATTTGTGCAACACTTTTTTGTTAACACTTGCAACAGTTTGTTAGTAAGAGTTTTCTTAGTTCGATTAGTGTGACCGTTGGCAATTAAGCGAATGGTGCGAGGCATTCTATTTTGTTGCGTTAAACAAATTGAATTAGTTTATTTTTAGCGAAAACATTCCCGTTATTTTAAAAATTTTGATTATTTTACACAATTTCAATTTATAGGTCTTTTATATGTTTTAATAATTACCAAAATCTGGCTTTAAACTAATCGTTTGGATCTAAAGTTTAAAATATTGTTTTAATTTGAATTTTTCATTAAAAAAACGAACAAATTTTTCTATTAAAAATAAATAGGTTTACTTTATTTAGAATACATTCTTGATTTTATTTCTAAAATCGATTTATTTTACATCAACACAAAACAGATATTTTATTTTCTATTCGAAAGATAACTGTTTCGAAAATTCCTTAACAAAAAAACTTAGAAATTCTAAGAATTTTCTTTTCAAATCGAATACTACAGCTGTATAGAACACATTTCCATTAACACACTGAACAAATTATTTAGATTAATTTTTGAAAATATTCGAATATTTTTAATGATGTTAAAACCTCCGGCTGAAAACTTCACTATAGTGTTACCATGTTCTCACAATTCAAATTTTCGTTATTCGGTTTTTTTATTCGCAGTTAAAGCTTTGTTTTCTTGGCGAATTACATTATTTATTGACTTGTCTCTAAGCTAGTTTATCTACTTTATGGACTAGTCTATCTAGTAGTATATTGATTAATCTATAGATTAGTCAATGAAGAAGTATATTGACTAATCCTTTGAATAGTACATTGCCTCTTCTATTGACTAATCTATGCACTAGACTAATGATCAATCTCTGGACTAGTCTATGAACTAGTATATTGATTCTTCTATAGACTAGCCAATTGACTAGTATATGGACTAGAATATTGTCTGGTCTATCGTATATTCTATGTATATGGACTAGGCTATCGACTAGTCTATTTATGAATCTATAGAATAGTCTATTGATTATTTTATTAACCAGTCATTTGACTATTCTATTAACTAGTCTGTTGACTATGGCTACCGACAGGTCTATTTAGTAGCCAATGGAGATGCCTATTTACTAATCCGTAATCTATTAATAAGTCTATTCAATCTTCTATGAAATAGTGTGTTGACTAATACATGGACTAACCTTTTGTGTAGTATACGAACTAGTCACTTCACGTACAAAAATCTATTGACTATTTAATGCACTAGTGTATGGAATAGTCTATTGACTTATCTTCTAAATACCCTTGGATAAAGATAAGGACAAGTATATAGATTAATATATAGACTATTCTAATGACTAGGTTAACGATTAGGCTATTGATTGGTATATTTAGTAGTGAATCGAACTGTCTATTGACTTATCTAATGATCAGTTTATGGACAAGTCTGTAAACTAGTCTCTTAATCAGTCTATTTAATCTTCTATGAAATAGTTAATTGATTAGTACATGGGCTAGTCTATTGTCTAGTTTTTTTTCACTTATCTATTGATTAGTGTATTGACTAATCTATGGATTAGTCTCGTGACTTTTCTACCAAATAGCCACGGACTAGACTATTGAATTAACTGAACATTGACTAGTCTATGATGAAGTTCTATTGACTAGACTATAGACTAATCTATAGACTACTCTATAGACTAATATATAATTTAGTCTATTGTCTAGTCTATGGATGAATACATTGACTATTGTAACTGTTTACTAACACACTGCTTAATATGCCGTGGGGATACAGCAGTATTTGTATATTTTATATCGTACTGCAAAACAGTAAACAGTGATAAACGGTATTATCGACATGAAGTCAATAATACCGTTTCTCATTGTTTACTGTTTTGCTCTACGATGTAAAATAAACATTATGTTTGGCACAAGTTTAAACTGTAATTAATCGCAAAAGAAAACAATTTTAAAGGAAATTACAAACTTTTAATATAATTCGTTAAAATTTCTCTAGAAATTATTTATTTTTATTTTAAAAAGCCTGCCCAAAAACCATTGCTTTATTGCCAACTTCTTTGTGGAAACTACTTGAACTTAAAACTCTTCTTTGTTTTAGTAAGGATGGCATTTTATAAAAATATTAAATTATAAAATAGAATAATAAATATAATTGTTTTTTCTTTAAAACGCACATATTTTCAATAAAATTATAATAAAACAAACAAACGTAAAAGGTTTTTCTATAGAGTAGAAGAAATTAAATATAAAAAAAAAACAAAATGGCGGAGAATTAAATTTAATAAAAAAAAAAACAAAAAACCAAATGTTATAAAAATTAAAAATTTTAGAAATAAAAAATTTAACGAAAAAACAAAACAAAATTGTTATAATTTAATAAAATTGAAAAGATATTGAAAAAAAATGAAATGAAATTTAAAAAAAGTGTTACAAATTATTAAAAAAATAAATAAATTATCATTTATTTATTTAATATATTTAAAAAAAAAATAAGTTTAGTACAATTTTAATTAAAAAAAAAATGTGGGCAATATTTTAAAACAAAAATAAAGAAAAATTAAATAATTTTGCATAAAATTTATATAACTTAATTAATATTCTTTTATTTTTATTATTATTAAACATTTTATTTAAAATATTTTGCTAATTATGTGTGATATATATTTAAATTCTTATATATTTTAAAAAAATTAAAAACTAAAAAAAAAAAATTCTAATAAATTTTATTAACATATAAGAAATTTATTAAAATTTTTATTTTTAAAACATTAAATAATTAAGTGTAAATAAAAACATAAACAAAATATTATAAAAACAACAACAATTGCTTTTTTGAATTATGAAATTAAAAGCGTTTTGAAAAAAAGTATTAAAATATTATTAAAACAAATAAAATAAAAAAACTAAATAATTTTTTTTAGAGAAAAATTATTTAATTTTAAAAATTTAATAAGAAAATGAAATAAAAAAAAAACTTTTTTATAAAAAAGTAACACAGAAAAACAAACATAGTCAGTCATAAATATCCATCCATTTGTTTAGCAATGAAATCATATTTCAACAAAAATATTTAACAACAAATAACTTTAGTCTATAATTAACTTCATATAAAAACACTTCACTATAAACAAATACAAATACAGATTTTTAGCTCTACACTCATACACCACAAACACTCATTATACTTAAAAAAAAAACAAAATAAATTTCAAAATTTCATAAATTCAAATATAAATGTTTCAAAAACGCACTTGAATACAATAATAAAAAACAAACTAAAATTTAATAAATAAAAAAAACCAAAACTGAACAACATTTTTTTATAAATTTATTTGAATTTAATAACAGATTTTTGCTAGTAAAACAACAACAATTTACAAAAACCCATAACTTAAACAAAAAAAAAACCTAAACGAACAAGTTTTTTTGTATAGATTTTACAAAAAATAAATAAAAAGTTTTGTCTACTGCTTTTTTCCACCAAACACAGAAGAATTTTTTAGAAAAATATTTAAACAAAATATTAATTAAAATTAATTATTAAAAATAATATATTATACAAAACTTAAAATATATATAAAAATTAAAAATATATAATTGCACTGATAGTCATTATTATGCAAAATAATAACAAATAAATTTAAATTGTATGTTTGTTTTTATTATTTTAATAAAAAAAAATAAACACAATTATAAAAAATATTGCAAATGAAGTTAATGAAGTTAATGAAAGATAATATTGCAAAGAAATAAACGTATTGAAAATTTATAAATTTTGAAAACTATAAAAATATAGACACTTTTATAAGGATCCATTTAAAAACTAACCTAAACATTTACTGCCTTATCCAAAAATGATTATTAAGTTAATAGTGTTTACTAAAAACTGTTTTTATATGAAAAAAGTATGTGGTAACCCTTGTCAACTTTTATAATCATTTTTGGATAAGGCAGTCAGTTAATTTTTAACATTATTGTTTATATTGTTTAATTTTAAATTAAAACTTCTTATTTAATTTGTATAATCTTGAAATAGTACTAACTTTATCAACAAAATTACTTTTTTGTTACACTACAAGTACTAAATACATTTCCGTATTTTAACTGCTTACTAGTCTATGGATTAGTCTGTTTTCTAGTCAATGGATTAGTTTATCGTCTAATCTATAGTGTATTCTATGGACTAGTCAGCAAATTATTCTATGGACTATCTTATGTACAAGTCTATGAACTGGTCTATGTTGTGGTCTATGAGCTAGTTTATTGACTAGCCTATAGATTATTATATGGTCTATGGACTAGTAATTTGGTTAGTCTACTGATTGAACTAGTTCATAGACTATTGGTTAAACTATTGACTAGTCTATTAATTATAGACTTCTGTCTGGTCTATGAACTAGTCTCTAGACTTAACTAGTCTATTGTATAGTCTATTGACTAGTGTATTGACTAGTCTATTGTCTAGTCTATTGACTAGTCTATTGTCTAGTCTATTGACTAGTCCATTGTCTAGTCTATTGACTAGTCTATTGTCTAGTCTATTGACTAATCCATTGACTAGACCATTGACTGGTCTATTGACTTGTCTGTTGACTAGTCTATTGGTTAGTATATTGACTAGTCTATAAACTAGTCTATCGACTATTCTAATGACTGGACTATTGTCGAGTTTGTTAACTAGTCTATTGACTAGCCTATTGTCTAGTCTATTGACTGGTCTATTGACTAGTCTATTGACTAGTCTATTGCCTAGTCCATTGACTAGTCTATTGACTTGTCTGTTGACTAGTCTATTGGCTAGTATATTGACTAGTCTATAAACTAGTCTATCGACTATTCTAATGACTGGACTATTGTCGAGTTTGTTAACTAGTCTATTGACTAGTCTATTGTCTAGTCTATTGACTGGTCTATTGACTAGTCTATTGCCTAGTCCATTGACTAGTCTATTGACTTGTCTGTTGACTAGTCTATTGGCTAGTCTATAAACTAGTCTATCGACTATTCTAATGACTGGACTATTGTCGAGTTTGTTAACTAGTCTATTGACTAGTCTATTGACTAGTCCATTGTCTAGTCTATTGACTGGTCTATTGACTAGTCTATTGCCTAGTCCATTGACTAGTCTATTGACTTGTCTGTTGACTAGTCAATTGGCTTGTATATTGACTAGTCTATAAACTAGTCTATCGACTATTCTAATGACTGGACTATTGTCGAGTTTGTTAACTAGTCTATTGACTAGTCTATTGTCTAGTCTATTGACTAGTCTATTGTCTAGTCCATTGACTAGTCTATTGGCAAGTCTATTGACTAGTCTATAAACAAGTCTATCGACTATTCTAATGACTAGTCTATTGACTAGTATATTGACTAGTCTATTGGGAAGAATTTAGACTGGTCTATTGAAAAGTCCATTGACTAGCCTATTGCATAGTCATTGTCTAATTTATGGACTAATCTATTGATTAGTTCATTAGACCACTATTGAGTAGTCTATTGAATCTATTGATTAGCCTAATGACTACTCTACTGACTAGTATGTTAGTCTTTTTACTACTCTATTGATAAGTCTTCTTTTATATAATCTATTGACAAGTCTTTTAATAAGTAACTTTATAAATTTTCCAAATTCCCTATTTTGATAGATCCATCTTATTGAATTTTATAAAATAACAAATAAAATTCGGTACAACCGTTCAGTAATTACAGATTAATTAACGTATTTTCATTAAAAACGGTTTTAAAAAGAAGATTGAGATATAAAACTTGGTTAGTGTAATGTTTACCGAGATAGGTTTGTTAATAATCTATCAAATGCAATTAGTTTCACTAATTTTGCTAAAAAAACTCAGATATCTTATAAAAAGATACTGCATTACCGTATCTAAAGTGAAACGACATCAAGATAATTTATCTTTCATAAAGTTTTTTTAAAGTATTTTCAATATATATATTTTTTTCATTTAAAACAAACGCTTTAATTTAATTATACAATTTTTTTGTTATATTTTTTGCTTTAAATTATAATTTAAAAAACAAATGCTTAGCATTATAAATTAAACGAAAATCTAAAATATAATTATAATTTAATAAATTTAAACAAATATTAAATAATTAAAATAACTAATTTCTTTAAAATATCTTAAAAAGTATTAAATTATTTAATACCATTAAATATAATTTAGTTTATTATTTCTTTTGCCAACGAAACAGCAAAATAAACTTTAAAACAAACCACATTAAACAAATATTAAAATTATTTAGTTTTTTAAATGTTTGTGTGTATTATTAATTAACTTTAGATTTAATTAATGTCGTCGTCATTAATATTAAATAAAAAAAAACATTAACAAACAAAAAAACAAATTAATTAACATTATTATTAATATTAATAACATTAATAATTATATTAAAGTAAAACATGTAATTTTAATTTTAAGCAATTTTTAGTATTTGCAACAATTAATGAATGAATTTTGATTGATTGTCTTGCAATAGAATACATTTATGGCACGAATAAGATAAAAAATATTAATTACTGAAGAAAAAATTATATATAAACCACAAAAAAATTAATGGATTTATGCATCCAAAAAAAAAAATATTAAGTCAGTTATAATGCATTATTGTAACCGTAATATGCATATTATAAAAAAATTAAAAAAAAAAATAAATATTAATAAAAATTATAAAAGAAAATAAAGAAACTCATTTATTATAAACTTTCTATAGGAAAAATATTTTATATAATTTGCAGAAATATTTTTTCTACAGGAAAGGTCGCTCAATTCTAGAGTTTAAAGTCCAACCTATAGTTAAATCTATAGTCTAATCTATAGTGTAGCCTATATTCTAGTCTATAGTCTAGTCTATAGTCTAGTCAATAGTCTAGTCTATAGTCTAGTCTATAGTCTAGTCTATAGTCTAGTATACAGTCTAGTTTATAGTGTATTCTATACTGCAGTCTATAGTGTAGTCTATAGTGTAGTCTATAGTGTAGTCTATAGTGTGTTCTATAGTGTAGTCTATTTATAGTGTAGTCTATAGTGTAGTCTATAATGTAGTCTATAGTGTAGTCTACAGTCTAGTCTATAGTCTAGTCTATAGTCTAGTCTATAATCTAGTCTATAGTGTAGTCTATAGTCTAGTCTATAGTCTAGTCTATAATCTAGTCAATAGTCTAGTCTATAGTCTAGTCAATAGTCCAGTCCATAGTCTATAGACTACTCTATAGTC